AAATCCCCCCCGGAGAGCCCCAGCCCCGGGGGCCGGCTGGGTTCGACGCCCCACCGGGAGGCCCGACTCGCTCTTTCGGCTGCAGAAATAAACTCCCCGCAGTTTCTCTCCTCTCCAGGCTGCCCCCGGCTGCCGCCCGCCGCTCACCTCCGGCCGCTCCCGCCCGCCGCCCTCCTGTGACATCGGCTCTCTGAAGCGGCGGCAGCCCCACATGAGGGACAGCCAGCTCAGCCCAGGGTCATGGGAGTGAGGACACGGCATCCGTGCTGGGATAAAGCAATTTTCACTTTCGCTACTCACCCTGTTCCTTTAAATAATAAGGAAATGCGACAGACTTCTTGTAAAGGCAGAGCCAGATAAAGACTGCTGGAAATACAGTGGCTGCAGACAAAAATCTTTCTGTTCCATCGAGAGTATTTTAACAGACTGAACACTGTTTCTTTTACCTCTGGGAACACCTTCCTTGCACTTTAATTGCACAATTACCTTGGCCTTATGCTCTGAAAGGGGGTGTTTGCACTGACAGCTACTTCAACATCCCTGCTCTACTGCAAAAGGATTTGTAATTCTTGTACCATCCTGGATGTGCTCAACTCACAGAGGCGAACACACATGACCAGAAGAGCAGGGTATGTGCCCCCAAACTGCAGGGCAGTCGGTCATAAAACCCCAGGTATCTCAATAAATCAGATACTTCCCTATTTTTCTGGTTTCCTCAGAAGCTTGAGTCATCCAGCTTAGATGAAGTTAAAGAGTTGACAAGATGAGTAAATATAGACTATCCTTCCAGGAAGATCTGGCTAACCTTTCATGCTGAAGTTGAGGGAACCATGTTCTCCAGGAGTCGAAGAGTCAAATTGACGTCTGTGCTCTGCCACAGGTTTCCTGGTAGGCTCTGGGACTGTGACTAAAAGACTTGAGCATGACTTCCTTGGTTTGAATCACTTCTTCCCAGCTGTTCCACCTCAAAGCACTTTGTGTCTCCACCCTCCAGGCTATCCATGCATTTATTTGGTTTTGCACTTTCCAAAGACCTCCAACCCTGGAGGACCGAGTCTCTGTGAGTCTTCCTGCCCTAACAGCCATGGGAAGGTGGCTGGTGACCACAATTGGGAAGCACACTCTTGCCAATATACCCTGACCTAACATGCATCCCCAGATTGTGCTGGGTCTCCCAAGCATCTCACAGGGCATTCTCTGGTTTCTTCAAAAGCAGTCTTGCTTCTTTCTCCCTGTGCCATCTCATGCACCAAGAGCAGGATGTTCACCGAGGGCTGCTCATGGAGGCAGCAGAAGGTGTGGGTTCAGTGCCATTCTCCAGCTGATGTGATACAAACCAGCACCTCCTGGAAAGCAACCCTGCCACCAGGCAGAGTTATTAGAGGGTGAATTGCTCTCAACTGCTCATTTGAAGCAGCCTAATCTTGCTTTAACTACATCTCAAGCAGTTAAAGGAAAGCAGTGCACAAGAGCAGGAGCGGAGAATTAGTTGGGACATGTCTTAGGTTGCAATGCAAGATGCAACCAAAGGTATGTATTCTATTACCAGCTGTTAAAACCAGCCGGGGCAGTGTTCTTTATCTCTTCCATGACCCATCCCTCATAACTCCAGGGGGTTTCTTCTGTTAATGGGCCATTGATCTCAGTGCATGACTGATAAAATTACATCATCCCATGGTGAGATGCTCCACCCAGGGGGAGGAGCCCAGCATGCCTACCTGGATATAATCTTTATTATTAATTTACTTGGCACACCACAGGCAGCCTTTCCCCACAGGATTCCCAGAGGAAGACCAGACCTATCTCCACCACCACTGGACCTTCAAAGGAAAACTACAGGATCCCTTCTACAGGATCATTGCTTCAACAGAACCACATCTGTCTCTCCAGGAGGACTGCAGCCACCATTTAATCAGACTGCTACCAACACCCTGACCAACAGGGGCCAATTGTATTCTGACTCTGTCAGTGTTTTTTGTACTACTGCATTTTATATTAATTTTCCAATTAAGTTATAGTTTTGTTTCTTTTATTTATACATACTAGTAAAGAACTGTTATTCCTATTCCCATATCTTTGCCTGAGAGCCCCTTAATTTCAAAATAATAATTCAGAGAGAGGAACTTTTTACATTTTCCATTTCAAGAGAGGCTGCTGCCTTCCTCAGCAGACACCTGTCTTTCCAAAACAAGACAGGACAGTTGCTTGACAAGAGAGCACTGGGTTCTTGCTGCCTTTGTAGCTTAAGCTCAGTTGAAATAAGCAGAACTAGAAACCAGTATTTTCACAAGCTCAGGGAACAGGTATGTTCTCTTGCAATAAACACTATGAACTCTGTGGATAAAACACCTCAACAGCCCTCCGGAGTCATCTGTGGGAAAGCCCCCTTCCACAGAGGGACTTTGAACTCCACGGTCCAGGAGCAATGCTGCCACAAATGGCACCTGCACAAGCTACATGACAGCATCAAATCGTGAGCAGCTCACCAAGAATTTATTAGTCCTGAATAAATATCCACTTCACTGAGTCATTCCCAGCAGCTGCAGAATAAGGTTTCCAGGATAACACAAGCATGGGACAAAGCCAGGGGACAGTCCCCTTGAGCCTGAATTGTCTGCTCTTGTTCAGAACAAATGACAAAGGAAATGACAAATCAAAATTTGCTTGTGGGAACAAGTTTCTAGTTAGTATTAAAGCTATCTCTGGTACATCTGTAGAAGTGCCTACACAGTAATTCCAGGTAGTGCAGCAGTAAAGGCAGAGCATTTCTGTGCAGGAGAGTAAAGCAGCCCAGAAAGCAGCTTAGTCAGCTGAGCTTACATTTCATAATGGCAGTTTATCAGTGACTTTTGTCTGCACTGAAGCAGCCTACACACATGCAGACTAGTCTCTGATCACAGCTTAGCACAGCACAGCTCATCTGGAGAATGGCACGTGTCAGAACTGGGTCTCAGAGCCCTCAGGTTTCCAAACAGATGTCAGGGTCCATGTGAAGATTTCTAGAAAAGGAGCTTCCCCTTTAGGATTGTAATCCCCTTTGTTCAGAAAGTACAAACAGCAAAAGCATGCGTGGATGCTGCTCCAATTTGCAAGTTTTTCTTGGCTGGGGATGGCCCAGCCTGATGAACAAAAAGCCCATTGCAGACAGTACACACTAATAAACAATGCGGTGTTCTGTGTCACCCCCAAAAGCCAAGGAATTCAAACTCAGTTTGCAAATTAACCTAAGCATCCATCACCATTGAGCAGTCTTACAAAATTCAAAGGCTATATAAAGAAAAACTACCAGACGTTTCTTGATGCAATACCAATTCGGCCCAAGTTAAAAATAAGAAGTTTGGCTGTTGTGACATTTCAGTAGAAGCCTGATTAGACATGTCTTGCACAACACTGCCAATTCCTATGAAAAGTTAACTGAAGGACAAAAGGCTACTGGAAAGGGAAAAAATGAAGTGTTTTATATATTTCTGCCAATGGGAAGAATAGCTAGTTGCAGTTATCACTGGCTGTAGAACTTTTTAATAAACAATTGAAAAATTGCTGAACATTCCAGTGTTGAGTTTAGCTCGTCATAGAACTTGCATTTAAGGGAAGGCTCACTTTACAGTGCTGCTTGGCCAAAAGTAGCCATTAGATTTTAAAATTCCTAGTTTATACGCTGCACTTGGAGTCCTGATTGCTTTATCATTTTCTTTACACAATCCGTTTGGTCAACATTTCCAGATGCATTTCTTCTTCCACCCAGTTGCAGTTGCAACATGGGCTATGGAACAAGTGACTGCTATAACTCAGGGCATCCATTCCCACTTACCTGAAATCCTGTGCAGACCAACTATACCTCAGTCTCTAAATAGAAACATGCACTGTAGTGTCAATCTATTCTAAGTCATAAACCACAGTGCTTTCCCTTTTTATTTCTTATGGCATTTTTCCTACCCCAGCCATTTCTGATGGAACTTCTTCAAAAAGGTATCTATTTCTAGCTATTTTCTGTACTTGCCTATCATTTGCAGAGAAGAGCAGAGAATCTTCTGTTAACAGAGGAAATGGCCAAATACTGTAATAGTTGCCATGCAAAATCTTGCAGGGCTCACCTTAGCCTAGCAACACCCAGGATCTGTATGAAGAAAGCCGTAGAGGGGATTTTCAACGCCGCACAGAGCACGGGCACTCAAAATAGCAAATGGCTGTGTGAGAAGCCGTCTGAGCCACACGTTCCACAGCTCTGCAGCTCCAGTCCCTCTCACATCCTGTCCTCTCTTACACGAGAAGCTTTGTAGCCCCGAGATTAATAACACTTGTGAGTTCAAAGGCAGTAAATGGAACTACTTCAGTTACTCAAGCCAGAATTTAACACAGATGTCCTCTGAAGTACGCTCACTGCTCAGCCACCATCTATTCCAGGTGACACTATGAACTCTATTAGAACTGACAATATTATCTGAAGCTTTGATCTTCCTTAATTGATTTAATTTACTTCATATAAAAACACACATTTGTATATACAAGGACAGGAAAAATATTTACATATAATGACATATACAAAGTCTCAGTACAGATACTCACTTTTACAAAATAAATGATGCCAAAATCTGTTTTCTTGAGAATTCTCAGTCTCTTAGACATCAGGTTGGACCTGTCTTCTTAGCACCACACATGTCATTAATAAAGCTTCTAAAACCACCCTCCATTTACTGTGTAAGAAATATGTTACATAACAGACAGAAGTATTTACTGCAGGCACATGCAACCATAAACTAGAAGAAGTTATAAATAGTTAAGGCAAAATGCTCAATTTAGTAGAAAAAGTTATAAATATTTAAGGCAAAATGCTCAATTTAGTACTAATTTGGAATCTTCTAGGTACTAATGAGTAAAGAAAACAAAAGTAAGCTAGCTCCAGTGAATACCATTTACTGGTAGCCTGTACTGATCTTTACAGTTTAGTCAAACAACACAAATGCAAACACAACCCAAGTCAAGATCCTCTCATGGGTAGAAATATTGTCTCAGAAAACCCCAGGCTGCATAATTGGATTACATGAAATTAAATGAAATATCAGACCCTAAGATGCTGATGTTTGAATTCCTATTCAGAAGAGCAGACTGCAAGTAAATACATACAATCATTAAAAATCCAAGTTTCAACAAACATGACTATAAGTAAGCCTAGATGACCTACATTCAGAAAAGGTAGAATAGCAGGGACTATTGTCACATGTGTTCATGGACTTCTCCTTAAAACTCCAACATTGCATCAAATCTGGTGATTTCAATATGCTGCAGTGTCAATTCATTAAAATAAAAGCCACCTGTCTCAGTAATTAATGAAGGTGCATTAGGAGAACTAGACATTCTCCAACCTCCTTAGAGACATGCTGAATGTAAGTGGGCAGTCAGTGGTTCCCTAAAAGACTGCCTACATACATAAAGCAGGCACACGAACTCTGAGAAGCACAAAGACTCAAGCTAAAAACTGAGCATAAACTGAGTTAAATGGCAAATGCACTTGCTGGATATTGGATGCTACTGGTACGTGTAGGCTTTCATATACCATCATCATGTCAGCAAAAGTAGAAATATTTAAAAGGTCAAACACTGATAATTAAAGAAGCTCCTGTGTATATCACTGAGGGGAGATGAGTTCTGAAAAAACAGATGGAACACATGGAAAAAAGTACAACTCAGATTCCAATGTGAAAACACAAAAGAAATTCATGCACTGAGAGTGATCTTCCTCGGCCGCAGTGGGTAACGCCTTCTCCTGGGGGCATCTGCAACTTTTCTTCTTTTTAGCAAAATATAAGGATTTTTACTGGAAACAGTTCCTGTTGGTGTGACTTCTCCCGGTGGTACTGAATTTTGGACATTGTTTTCCTCCTTCACACTGCCACCAGAAAATACTTCCTGCCGCAGCTTGCAGAGTTCCAAGGTTGGTTGCAAAGTTAATGCTTGGGAAAAACCTTCTGCTTTTTCTATGAGTGCTGGAATAGACTGCAAAAACAAACCCAAGTATCTCAAGTTACATGGGAAAAGCAATGGTTATAAGGCATGCAATATGCTAATGAGATTCATACAGGCACAAAAGCCTCAGTGTCTGCAGAGATGACACTCAGGATGGTGGATGAGGGTTGTGAATGCAGACCTACCACCCTAATAGTGAGATGTCTGCATTCAGAAACCATGCAAAGGATATGCCAAGTTGAAGTGCTCCCTTGTTACATCTCTAAGCTCAGGAGGTATCAAAGGAACACTACAGCTGATGCCTAAGTAAGTACTGAATTAACAAATATCATACTCTAATATGAAGATGAAACTGTACAAGTCTCCAAAAGATGTTCTGTTTTCCAGATGCTGCAGGTTCCAAAATCTCAGTAAAAGTATTTCCTACAGCCACAGACTCATCTCCCTTACTAGCACGTGAGGGGGAATGCTTTATAAACACAACGCTTCACCTGCTTCATAACTACACACACAGGCTTTTTTTGACCAAACTGTAAGGAAAATGAGTTAGAACTCCTGTTTTGTGACATATTACCAGATCAAGAAGATAAAAACTTATTTCTCTTGGAGCACACAGAGGTCTCACCTGCATTGCTTCGCTGATCTGTCTGGATGCCACTTCTGTCGCCTGCTTCAGATCTGCAATGTAAGCATCTACAGACAAACACAGCACAAATCAACTTCTGAAATGTGTTTCCTTCCCCCATTACTCACTATCAGAAAACAGACAGAAAACTAGTAAAGTCCCTGTATAAAACCTAAACCTGGAACACATCCCTTTCACTGTAACACTGAGGAAGACAGCTGGCATGGTTTATCTTACTAGTATTATTCTTTATCACTCAAACTGCAGTAGAGGCTAGCAGTCTCAACTACAGAAAGCCACAAAGTTCTTACCTAGAAAACACTGAGCCAATATTTGAAACAAGAGGACAGTTGTAAAGAAATAATTACACAAAAAGATTTGTTTTCAAAACTTTTACTCTCATATTACATTTGATAAAAACCACACAGAACACAGAGAATAAACACCACTGTGCAGAACATGAGATGCAGAAAACTCTTTTTAAGGAGGGCAAATAAATCATCCTATGTCTCTGACAAGTTGGCTTTTACAATAAAGGCTACTTTTTTTGTTTTTCCTTCCGGCTTAACTTACCAAGCATTAACACCAAAAAGAAACAAGCATAAATAACATTAACAGCATTAATTCTGCTGGGCTAACAAGGAAAGAAAAAAAAACCCAACAAAACAGCTTTCAGGAACACTGAAGCAGGCAGCAGGTGCAGAACACCAGGGGAATACAGCATATAATCAACTGTAGTAGCAATATGATAAGATCACCAATACTTTAATTCTGTATTCAAGAGTTAAACTCTAGCCTATTATGGAACTGTTTTGCATGTTCTCCATCCACAAAACTTAAAATGAGCAGACAAGTATACTTCTGGGAAGTAAGGAGCCTCACCTCCACTACTATTAGTTTTCTGTAGGGTTTCACCAATGCCTGCAGTATGACATGGTGTCAGGTGGTGCACACACCGCTAAACCCTGTTAGGGTTAAACACAGCATTGTGTTTTGAAGTCAATCTTACTAGTGCTGTTGAAGGTGTTTTAGCCCAGGGTTACAGTGACTCCCTGCTAAAATGTGGTAATCACCAAGAGGTGGTGTTTGTTGAGCTGTCCATGTGTCCGATGTGCTGGTCAGAGTTGGGTTAGGAACACATGATCCCTATGTGAACACAGACATTACATTGCACCATCATCCAGTTTGGAAGAATAAGCAGTCCAGAAGCAACCTCTTTAAACCCATCACAGAGCCCTATGGAAGGGCATTCTCTAAAAGAAGGATATGTCCATTATGAAGCATTCTTACAATAGAGTATTGAGATAAGGAGGCTAGTGACCTTATGAAATGGCAAGAATGGAGTTAAGTAAAGAAGAATTAATTATTTTGATTATTATACAAAGACTGACACACAGTTAAATTAAATTTGCCTACAGGAGTTCGGCTTTACATAGCTGGCATTATGCTCCTCAGTGCTCAAGGCTTTCCAAAACATAGGGAAATGAAACAAGGAAATGAAAGGTATTGAGTAATCTAAACATTTTTGGTTTCTGGCAAAACTGTACTTGCTAAACTGGGATACATGAACTTCCCAAAGACTACATAATACCAAAATTCTCGATGGTAACTTTGCTACAGCTTTGCTGTTACCAAACCCAAACCCACAGTATTACAGTGCAAACTGCTACTAACTTGCAAGTAGTTGACTGACATCAGAAAAGCCTGGATTTGAACACTAGAAACCAAAAGGAACTCAGATATAAAGTGACCCACAGTACTGCTCCTAGCGGCTGCTTTGTTGCACAGGCTGGCACTGCTGGAAGCCATGTCTCCCATCTACAAAGAGGAAATGATGTTTAGAATGAAGTCAGATCAGCAGGGTGAGAACTGGAAGATTCAGCTCAGCTCCTCAAACTCTGAGCACCACTGCTTGTTACACCAGCTTTACATCATGTGCAGTAATTCACTGTGAGGATTCTCACTTTTCAAATTAGAACTGCACTGCTGAATTCTGTCATTTTTTAATACTTAACAACAGGCAACACAAAACTTCCCATTTATTAAGGCCAGCCTCAAGAGAGCACATCCCAAACACCTACTGCAAAATCCACCACCTTGTTCCAATGAGTCTGTACAAGGTATCCTTCCAAATCATGCAGCCAACTTAAAGCATTGTTTGCAGCTCTGTTCTTTCATCAACCCTCACAAGTGACACAAGCAGGAAGAAATTTGTGTCCTGCTTAGCAAGTTAGGACTGTCACCTAAGTCAACACTGCCACCACCAAGTCCTACACAACAGCTTTCAATTCCCTGAAGGAACTGATTAGGAAGAGAGGTTGAAGCATTTCAAGTACTCATGTAAAAGGAACACAAGAACAGACAAAGTATAATGTCGGTGATCCATCCAGTTCCCCATCTGGCCTTCATCAGTGACAAAAGAAAGAAGTAAGGAAGCCTTCTGGGGGCAGCTGTGTGACAATTTCTCCCCAATACACACACAGTGAGGCCTTTGCCAGCTTTTCGCCTTTAAGTACAGTGCCTAACTGCAGGCAGCAGTCAGAACAAGAGAAATGGACATGGTAAAACTCAGGCAGCAATACATTCACTCATGACAAACTTGTAACTTTTTAGTTAATCATTTAAACAGTCAATTTTAAACAAGCTTAAAGAAAGAAAACTTCTTAAACATTTACAGTTAACTAGTAAATGAGACAGTGAGTAAGTTAGCCAGATGCCCTTCCCACAAAATCTTTACCTTGAGAAGGCTGAGGTCTTATCTCTGCAGGTTTTACCACAGGCTGGTAGAGCTTCTGCATATTAAAAAATAAAAAGAAAAAAAAATTATAAAATACCTCCTTGGTTTAAGAGATATCTAATATACATAGAGCAGTCAGAACAATGGAGATGTGGTAGAATTACTTAAATCAAGAATCTATTAGAGGTACAATTTATAGATATTTAGTTATGGAAAACAGAATTCTGGTTAACACAGTTACACTCTCTGTAAGCACATCTCCAGAATCTGCTTTAGTTTGCAGAATTCTAATTATTAAAGCATGAGAACTGACATCCAGGTATTTTGGAAGAAGCATTGCCACCTGCTGCACAACTGAGGAAGAAGAGCTGCTCTAGCTTCTCAGGAGCTATTCACAGAATCAGCATGCTTTCACAGAGTATCAAATTCCAACAAAGGGTACATTAAGATAAAAAGCGAAGAAAAAGGAAACTACATAAACAACTACACTCTAGCCCTGCAATTACTTATACAGAACTAAGAACACCCTGCTTCACAAACTGTGAGTCTTGTGACCTCACATCAGTTAACTGAGACATGAAATAAACTAATAACTGAACATAACCCATACTTAGTTGTATTAAAGGTGGAATTATAAACAGCGAACAGGGAAGAAGGAAAAAAAGCAAGGCCAAGGGAACAGAAGTTGGATCATCTGCAAGTTAGTGTTCTCAACTTCAGGAGCTGTCCCTCAACCTTCTTCAAATAAAAGCAAGTAGTGGAAAGCTACTTCCTGTAGTTTTGGCAGAGAAATTTTTTCACAGTTCACACAACTTCTTAGCAAGTTTGCAGTAACAGCTCCAAGCACAAGAACAAACATGGCTTGCATTAGTGTCAAACTCTACAGAATATATTGACTGAAAACCCACAGGATGATCTCTTGCTTTGGCAGTTGCAAGGAGATTACTACAATAAATGAGTGGTTCTCTCCAGATAAAACACATCTTTATGGCTGCTCTTTATGCCTCAGAAAGCATCACACCATTAGCCATGGTCAAGAAAGAACAAGAGAAATCCTCAACCAAAATCAAAGAAACCATTGGTACCTTTGCAGAAATAGCTGAGACATGGCAAAAAAAGGGATAAGCATTTACAGAGATACACTAAGCTTTCCATATTTCTTACATGTATTTCTACATATTCTCTCAGGGATAAACTAAACTTTTGCAGACAATTTTAATTAAAATAATCATCTAGTTGTGGTGGTGTAAACTTTGAAGAGTTCAGCAAGAGAAAAAAAGTAGCACGAGAGGTATTCCAAGTAACTCATCCACTGTGGGACTCAGATAGCAGAAAGATTAAAAGGTCTTGTTAAATCTTGGTGTTATGCAATAACATATTTTATTTTAGTTTATTCTGTTTGCTTGTTTTACATACTTGGTATACTGACAAAACAGAGAGATCACAAAGGCAATATATGTTAGAAAATATCTCACATGTAAGACAAAAGCATACCCATGCACATTTCCTTACCATAAATCATCTCTGTCTGGCTAACCTAGAGAATTAACATTTGTCAATTTTATTCATCAGAAATGCAGTGCAGGCTCCTATACAACTTCCTAAAAAAATTCCTGTCTTCTTTAGTATAGAACAGCTGAAGATGGAAAGGACCTCTAAATACCCTCCTGAAAGCTGGGCCAACTAGGGCAGGTTGCTCAGAGCCTCATCCAGTCAGCTTTCGAGTATCTCCATGAACCTCTCCAAGGATGAAGACTCCACAGTTTCACTGGGCAACTTGTGCCAGAGTTTGACTCTGCCTCAGCCTTTTGTTTTTTGCCAAAGGAATCCTGATTAATCAGGAGGTGAGCAAAAGGGAGGCCTAACATGACTTCAGGAAAGAAATCTAGCAGCTGAGGACACGCCTGGGCTGTTTAATGCCAGTAATTACTTTATACTGTGTGTCAAAAATCTCACAGAATTTACTGTGCTGATTCATTAATCCACACTACCTTTTTTCCCATGCTTTACTGAAAGTCATTACTTGATGTAGTTACTAGCTCCAAAATGTGCTTAGGAAGCCACTGACATTTTAAGTCATACACTGCATATGATACTATTTATCTGTATGTAGTGTAACATTTTGTTCCTCAACCAGCCCTTGGGCAAGGACTTCAGGAACTCAGAAGATAAGTGGCTACTGGTTTGTAAATCCTGATTCACCAGGCTGAAGCAATCTGCTCCCGTTTCTTTGTGCCACAGACCCAATTCAGATACAGTCACAATGTTTTGTGTCAACCCTTAGTAGCTACTTAGTAAACTTACTAAGTCTAACCCTTAGTTACTGCAGAACCAGTTAATGAAAAAAGGCGATTTCATGTTATGATAAAGAATCAAAAGAAACCATGGGAAGGAGCTTAAAGGTCACTGGATGATTGATTTCTTAATGCAAAGGTTTTTTGGAAGTCTTAGGTTACTCACCAACATCTCCTGCTCTGCTTTCATGGTTTGGATAGCATGTACCAGGATCTTTTTAGGCCACTGTTTACGCCTAGTTGCTGTCTCTACTATTAATTCATCAAATTGATCCTCCAGAATTTTAATACTGGAATCTGAAAGTGACAAACACACATAGTTGCTATGGAATTCTCAGACTTTTTTTTTTAAGACAAACTTAGCAAGAGAAAGAAGCTTTAGATCTCAAATAAAAAAATCATGCATGATTATCAACACAGAGATAAATGTATGTCCTGAATCTCCTTGCTAAGGCAGTATTGAGCATAACTTGATGTTGGTCAGTTATTTTGAAGTAAATTATCTCAGGGGGAGGCAGGCAAAGAACCATCCAGGGAATAAAATAAAAAATGTTTTTTTTAAAAAGCCCTGTGAACTCTGCATCTGTGAAGAAAGTCTTACAAAGCAATGGCTATCTTTTAAGGAGAAAAATGGTTTATCTGTGTGATTTACAAGCATTAAAAAACTCCAACTGTACAAACAGTAATTGGAAGCCTAACTGATTTTATATCACACAGTGCACAAATAAGCAGTTTAACATTTAAATTCACTGTTCCCACAAATGTGTTGAATATAACTTGTAAGTCATGCAATGTTTTCCATCTAGTGGTAAAGAATGGATTTTGAGCACCCTCTCTGGGTCACTCTGTGCAGAATCAAGTGATTGCAAAACTCAAAAGGGAAAAGTCAAGGTTTTAACAGTTTGTGTGTTTGTTTTAGTTATTTGTTTTAAGATGACCATGAAACCATTTAAATATAGACAGGGAAGACTTAAGCCACTGGTCAACATAAACATGGAAGGTACAAAATGTCAGATCTCTTGGTGACTCAGACTGGATCAGAGATAAGCACATGAGTAAATCCATATCGAATTAAAAAGCACAACATATCGCACAGCTGTGGGCAGATGACAGTGTCTCAGTTTTGCATCATGAGACCAGTGCATTTTTGACCTTGTAGTCTAAGTAGCTGGAGTTTCATCATTCTAGACCTACAACTGTGGATACTTCACAGAATCAGTGAACAGTCTGGGTTGGAAGGGGCCTTTAAAGGCAATCTAGTCCAAGCCTCCTGCAATGAGCAGGCACATCTTCAACTAGATCACATTGCTCAGAGCCCATGTTTGCTCACGTCCAATGTTTTCCGTTCAACAGCTCCATAGTTAGCTCAATGTATCTGTATTTTCAGCTCTTTTGGAGTGTAACAGCAAAGAGCATCAAGCTGCAGGCAGACAGCACCTAATGCCAACACACGTGAGTGAATGAACTGCACAAAAATTTTGTATGGACACCAGACTACCAAGAATCTCCATTATTATTATTCAAAAGACACTAATTACATTGTTTCTATTACATGTATTTATATAGCAATAATTTTCAACAATCTATATATTAAACAGCAGCAACAGAGTTTCCTAGGGTCTTTTGACAGAAGTCACTGCCCCCAACACTCAAGCTGGAAGGACCCTCCAGAGCCTTCTGCTCACAGTAGGTTCAACGCCCATTTCAAAACAGGTTGCCCAGAACACTTTTGCCCAGATGGTTTTTGTAAGCCTCCAGTAGTGGAGACAAGCTCTGGGCGGTCTTTTCCAATGCTCTGTTATTCTAAGAATGAGTTTTTACTTCCTTACAGCAAGTCAGAACCGCCCCCTTCAATCGGCCCCTTTTACCTCCGGACCTAACCAAACCAAAACAAACCAAACCGAACCGAAACAAACCCACCCAGAGGGAAGCGGATGGAAACCGCCGCCTACCGTTCTGCAACGGGGAGTCATCCGAGGCCTCCTCCCACGGCTGCCCGTTAATGGTGACATTCTCCTGCACCTTTTTCTCGAAGTTCTGCAAGGCACGGGACAGGCTGAGAATCCGTCCGTCCGTCCATCATCCATCCATCCATCCATCCATCCATCCATCCAATCCCTCCATCCCGCAGGAAGGGCCCATCCCGCCTCCTCGCCCTGCCCAGGGGCCACACCGGGGCAAGCCTTCCCCTCACGCGGCTGCCGAGCGCTGCCGGCGGGGCCCGCCGGGCCCTGTGCCGGCACAGGA